AGATAAATTTAAAAAAGGGAAATTGACTCTTCGCTTATAATTGAGGGAAAAAAAAAAGGAAATCCAACTCATTCCTTCTCCAAAGTAAGTTCACTTAAAAGTTTGCACCGGGGTTTTCTGCTGTTGTAATAATTCATCTGAAAAAATTTCTAGAAGCAGCAGAAGCTGTCTTAAATTGGAATAAATCCTTATGAAATTCATGTCCAAATTTTCTCGAAAAGCCTTTTAAAGCTGGAAAGTAAATTGTTTGAAATGGAAAAAGTTTGATTTTTATTTAATATTTGTTGATTTTGCGCATTAACGTCAAGTCTTGGATATTTCTCATTTGTATAAATTTTTTTCATTTGCAAAGACCCCTCAATTTCTTCATCAAAACTACTTGAGTGCAGCTGTTCATTTTTCCAGTTTCAGTTTTCTAAGCAAAATACCTTTAGTTGAGTTTCAAACCTGAATAACCTTTCACTTCCAAAATCAAAGTATAAATTGTCTTCGCTGTCTGTCGTACATTTCTTATAATTTTTGCCCAAAGAAATTGGTGTTAAATCAAACAATATCCTTAAGGTGATAATTTTCTTTCTTCTCATTACTGTTCTGTTCGAAAATGTATTGCTGCTACAAATAGAAAATCCTTTTTGATCAATATACTAAGAGAAGTATTTCTCTAACAGAGAAAGCTACAGCCTTTCTTAAAAAGTACCGGGAATTTCTCCCAACTGAAAATTTCTTTTTCAAAAAGTTACCCCTTGTCACTCGAGAAAGTATAACAAATTGAAAAATTGGCGTTTTTAAGTGTCAGTGGTTGTTAACATCAACATTTCTCGTCGGTCACAAGCTGGCGTTTGGTTAGTTTTGTGTCGAGGTGTTAAGTTCTTTTAACTGTCTGTTGGCTAAATTAGTTCGTCCTTATCTCCAACTTCTCTTAGTAAACGCTATCGCATTTGTTCAGTCTGCGAATTACACTCCAATTGTAGGGTTGCATGATACGCGAAATGCTATTAAAAGCTTACTTAGTGTGCAGAATAATCAGTGTAGTCGTGCGCGGCTTAACGGGTGTTTCAGTCATCTCAGTGGGTAAGAGTTTCGTCGTACAAAAGCGTTATCTTCAGAAGTGGCGGAGCGGTTTGTCACGCGGCTGGGCTCTTCAAATACCCACCAAACCAAACTTTTCGAAATGTCACCTACATTGTTAATTGGATTATAAAAAAACCTCTGTGTGAACCAGAGGTCCAGGATGTCCGTAATTTCTCTACCAAAACGTATAACCAGCGTCCCAAACAGTATCGCCAAGCTTATGAAACGATTTTTTTAGAAGAACACAAGACTGGACGTTTTGAAAAGCCGATTTTATGCTGCAATTAGGATGACTTCCTTACGTACTGTAATATTAGAGGGGGGGAGTGTGGGGGGGAGGGGGGGTTGGAGTGATTAACATTGCAACGACTAACGACTTGTGGCTAAAAGTAAATTGTTGGAGATGAAACAGTTTTAAGTTCTCTCTAAGGTTTAAGTACCCGAAAACACTTCCAAAGTTTTTTGATTTTTGATTTGAAAATAAAGTTGTCATTGCTTCAACTTCTGATCATAATTTATCATTTTATCAAATAAACTTTCGGTTTTTGTTCTGAGCAGTTTCTGATTATAAGCAACCTAACATCCTAATCAAGTAAGAAATATTATTTTTAAATTCAAAATCTGCTTTCTTGATTAAAAATAATCCATTGCCACTTGAAAAAAAAACATGCCTTTGGAAATCTTCCAGCTCAAACAAAACGTAATTTACTTTGGTTACTGATTATGTTTGGTCTTTTCATCTCGGAAGTAATCTGGAGTGATAAATTTATCTTGAGGCTTTCAAAATGTAATTTGATCGAACTCAAACACATTTAAGCCAATCATTCTTTGTGTCAAACATCCGTTCGTAACAAAGCAGAAATCGATAAAAAAAAAACCAATGACGTGCTAAATCTTGCGAAAAAAAGGTTTTTTAGAAATCAAGTGAAATGCGCCATGCTGTGATTACTTCCTTTTCTATTTCGATCAATTTCTTTGTCAACTTCTCCAGTCCAAAAATACAGTAGAAACATTAGATACACTACACTAAGAGGAATTCAGAAACGAGAAGGGACCTGAGAGCAAACTGCCTATAAAATACCAATGAGATTGACTAATTTGATTATCGACTTGAAGTTTGGAGATTTTGCATCCATTCGGTCTGTGATTGGTCAGCAAAACCGGCGCTATCCTCTTAACCAATCAGACGCAAAACGTAAACTAATCGTGACCTGGTCGCCCGCGTTTTCCCGCGTTTTTGATAGTTTGCCTGTTTTTCTTTTGAGTGCTCATTGGCTAATGATGAAGTAAACGTTTGTTACAATTGGCCGTCGTGATTACTTTGGTTTGGGTTTTTTAGATAGTCAATTGAAAACTGCTCTATCAAAGTGGATAAATCGTCCAAGAGAAATTCTTCAACCTCGTCCAATTGGAATTAAACAGATGGGTGAGATAGAAGTGATTTCTTTTTTGGCTTGCACCCAGGCCCCTTTTCGTTTCTGAGCATTTTAAATAAATATCAGGAACCAATTTTCAAAGCAGGTTCTTTCGGTAGAATTTAAGAATCCTAGGAGGAAAAAATCGCTTATCCATTTTGTGTTTCATTCTTTAATTTCAAATTTATTTTTACTCTATCAATCGTTCTTTCTCTTTGTTAAGTGTTGAATAATCATATGGTAATCTGGTTGAAGTCGAGATGAAAGGAAAAAAAATGATAGGTATGTCAGAAGTACCCGTTTGTTTGAGAATAGGCTTTGAAACAACTAGGTCCTGATATTTAGCAACAACAAAAAGAAAGCAGAGAAAACGTCTGTAACATTGACTTCACATCGATTGAATATTTTATAGCCATACCTATAAATTTGGTTCGGAAAGAAATAAAGAAGGAATACAATTCTATGACGTCGAGCAACAATAGAAGTCGAGTTGATTTTGGCCAAAACGTTCTCTTTGCCTTCATTGTCATTGACTGTATGCATGCTCTAAATCCTAACAAATTAAAAAATTGAGCAACCTACGTTTAATTAAGTCCTCTTGCATCTCTCTAAACTATTTCTTTCTGAACCCATTCATTTCCAATCCTCCTTTTCAAGTTTCTGATCCTCCAGTTGTCATTTCCTTCCCTGGACCCTGTAAATTAACATGTTGATTCATTACACGTCGCTCGTCATCAATGAAGGACTAATCACCGAAACAAAATCAATGGGACAGGGATTTCTCATTTTACCCATAGAAGCATATACCTTTCTGAAAATACCAGTTCATACATTTTTTTTTTCGGTCTTGAGTAGTAAAGAAAGTAATCCCGGAACTTCTTTCCGGGCTTCACTTTGCATAAAATTTGTTTTGCAAATTTTCCCTGCACGAATTTCTCAGCTATTATATCTCACCTTTGCCTGCCGTTTTCACTGTCCGCATGTTTTTTCCCTCGCATTTAAAAAGGACAGCAAAACCCTAAAATTGACCAAAAATAGGAAAAATCATTCAATTGCCGCTGTCGAGTCATAGAAGAGGAAAAGCACAGGGAGATTTCTACTATGTTAACTGCTTTAATGGAATCACCTTTTCTTCTTGTAAAATCATAAATTTTCAGAAGTAACCCAACAAGTTACAAAGTGAGAGATACTTACTTTTCATTAGAGGGATCTCTCTTCTCTTCGCTGACCTCGTATGGTGGTTGTTCTGTTTCAATTTCTGCGATGACAAAAATAAAGAAATAAGACGAGAATAACTTATTTTGTAAATTAGTAATTTCAGTCTCTATCATAGGATGTAGTTCGACTGTTATTATTTGCCAACTATTAAAGGATAACTCGCTAATAAACCAACGTAAAACAAGATAACCAATGTTTGTTTTTAACTTTTGAGTTCATATGCCTTGTGTGATAACTTCTACCGCAGTGATCAAGTGCGCTGAACAAACAGAGCATGCAATTAATGCAACGAACAGAGCTCCTTTGATAGCGCAAGAGATTTCTTCATCAACTTTAGGCAACGTTGGGACTTGAAGATGAACGAATATATCATTTTAAATCTATCAAACCTTCGTAAGCCTTAGTGGTTTCTTACTAATCAATTAAACTTTAGGGCACAAGGTCTTGCTCCGAAAGGGAAAAGACATACCCGAGTGGTTGACGATGTAAAGCTTACATAGATAAAATAGCTTTGGACAGGGTACTACAACAGCCGAAGTACTTTATTCAAAAGCAGCGAATAATGCAAACGAAGTCAGAAAACTTACGTTAGCATCTTGAACAACAACTCCCTCCAAACAGTAATTCATTCGCTTACCTCGTCTCAAGTCATATCTATTCTGCCAAAATTCGTTCAGTTCTTCAAATTCGGCTCCCGAACTTTAGAGAAGGGAACATTCGGCTTGAAAATATTTTTTGAATTGGTTCTGAGCGCAGAAGTAAGTGGCATACGTCGGGTTTCTGTTCGGAGAAGCGCAACAAACCACATGCCACACTGACCTGAAGTGTGAGACAAACGTGAATGTATAATTAATTTTAAACATTATCTCGTCCTCATCCCACTGCATAAATTACCCACAACAAGTCCTGAGTTTTTCACATCACCCATGCAACTCTTTTTTCAGAGGATCTGTATTGAAATTCTGTTGAAATAATGAAGTGTACACGTTTTATGAGGTATCATTAAAAGTCTGAGAAAGTAAAGGTTGTCAAGAAGTTAGTTGTAAACAAGTGGGGGTGGGGAAAGTGGCTCTGAAGGTGATTTGAAAGGTGCGAAGGCTGTCTTTGAATTTCGAGATGTTTTAATATGAAATTTATCGTTGATCTCTGTGTGAGAAATCTTTCCTACTGTGTTGCCAGATATCGGAAAAATATCAGGCTGAGAATTGTACCACCCAGCCCTTGCTACAAAACTTATCGTCCTTCGGACCCAGGTTCCAATCTTGATGATAAACAGACGGTCCAATAAGGCGATCAGCAAACATGGCTGTGATCGGACAATGTGAATGTGGATTTCTCGTCGATCACAGGAAAAGTATCTCTGAATCAGTTTCATCGTTGTCATTGTCGTGTAAAGAAGCTTTCTTTGCTCTTTACGAGCCTCATTTTAGAACTTCAACGAACAGCAGTTCATCGGGATCAAAAAGGAGAAAGGTACATGCAAGTTTTGAGATCAGGGAAACAGCGAAAGCAGTCTGAGATAATCTGACGGAACTTAACTTTTAAAATCAAGAATTGCACAACGACGAAAGCTCTGTAACATTTGTGTTTTATGTGAAATAATCACCCACCAGGAAACACTCAAAGTAAATGCGATGCTCTCATTTTAGAAGTTTGCACAATACAGTTATAGTAATTGTATGCGACTCCCTCGTGTTTTGATTCATTTTGATCCGTTCATCTATCAATCGTAACCTTCTGTAAGATAGTGACTTACTTGCAGTTGCCTTTGTAGCGGAAGAAATCTGTCCAAGTTGTTCGTACAGAGGAAGAATTAGATGCTGCTGCACACCATAGCAAGGTAAACATTCAACTTCCCAACCCTCGACATGCCAAGTTTGCTCACGCTGTCCATCATTAAATGTAAAAAAGACAAACAGGATTCTGCCTCTGTTGGTAAACATCACCACCATTCCCATGTTCTTTCTTGAGGAAAAAAAGAATCATCTTAATCAGTACTCTGTTGTAGCCTCCCGCATGGCAAAGGAAATTATCCAATATGTACACGTGTGGTGTTGTTCAAATTAAAAAAATAACTTATAGTCGAGTTGCCTTTGTCAAAGACAAGCACCTTAAAGAACATTTTCAAGTTTCCATCCTGGAAAATTGCTTTTCCGAGATGAGTATATTAGGTTTGTAAAACATAAACAAAGGATTTGAACGTCAAATACAACTCTGAGTGGCAAATTGAGGATTTCCATAAAAAAGTGTTGATAAAAAAAGTTTAAAAACTTAGTATACTAAGATGTGAAAGTTTAAATCTCTCCACCTTAAAAGAGCCTTTGGTGGCAGTGAGGAGGTAAAACTGAAGAAATGGTAGAGAGAGTTTCAAAGAAATGGTTATTGATAGAGGGGTGCTCAGCATTCAGAGGTTGAATCCCACTCAACTGCTGAATGCTGCGTCATTTGAACTGATTGGGAGTTCTGCTATTTGTGCCTTGATGGAATGCCAGTCCATCTCAGGTTACCCCCTTCCCTTCACTTAACATTTTGCGTGGCTCTCTTACAATTTTCAGGGTGGGGCAGGTTGGTGTTTACAAGTCTTGCCCAACAACACAACACAATGACCCCATTGGGGATTAAAACCCAGACCCTCTAAGTCCAGTGACTTGTGCACCAAACATTAAGCCTCAGCATTTCCTATGAAAATCAGTGTTACACAAAAATGTTTACAACATCTCACACCAAAGCTTTTAGCCTCATTGTTTCTATTAATCTTTGATTAATTCAGATAAAAGACACAATTGCAACAGGAACAGAGAAGCTTGTGCACATTGGTGTGGATATGGGCTATTTTCTACCTGAAAATGATCTTAGTGAACAAAGTAATTTAGAGTCAGGTAAACTTTGCACCACAATAGTACTAGTCAACTAGTTAGACAGTCTGTACCAGCAAAACTATGACCTCTTCTAAATGCTTCAATCTCCAAGATCTACTTGCCACTGTTGAAACAAATTTTGACACATCAATATATAATTGCCAATTGACAAGTTCTTCATGACAGAAGTGCCACTAACATTGATGAGCTTAACTTCTAACAAGTTAGTATTATATTTTAAGTGGAACATCTGTGACTGGTAGACATTATTTAAATTCAATTCTTGATGAAGACTAAAGTGCTGTCCTCCTTATTGACAAATGATCTCAATTTGTAAGGTCTATTACCCTTTAAAAGTTTTTAAAATAGTTTTGAATTTACAGAACTAGCTTTGACTGATTGCAAGCACTTTTCTGGACTGTCAACTGATGTTCAAAGTCACAGCAGATGTCTGTCCAGTGATCATTTGGAACCTTTAATCATCAAAGGTTATTTATGTTATTCTTGTAAATTGTCAATCCAAGACTTAATTTTCATTTCCACAGTTGTTTATTGTTTTAAAAATGCATGTTTTCCTCTTAAACAACCCAACGATTACCAGTTATGACTCCAGATCACAACAATTCTCTCCCCCAGCTGCTAAACATTTCCTTGTAAATCAGTAACAATAATTTGGTGTTAGCTTAAGTTAACAACTTCTACCAGATAAGTTTGAGTAATCTTGTTGACTGTTTGTTGGATGATGTATGGATATTTTAGAAGTTCCATACTGATCACTTCTGGGGGTTAAAGGGTTAAGCTAATCAGACAATGCAAGCCAGATAATTATCCTCTGGAAGTACAGTCAATACCTATCTTAAGCAGTCATTTACCATTAATGACAGAGTGACCACTCAATACTAATTTACTGATTTACTGCTTGATACAGGCTCCACAGAGTAGGAGTATTAAAGGAAATGATAAATACACCATGTTTTGCCATAATTGACCACATAGTTTAACAAACCTTACTCAAAAACACCACTAACATCAATTTTGGAGATAAACATGGATTAAATTTTACTTGAAAGATTATTCTTAGTTTTATTTGAGGGGATGTGCTTCAAGTGATCATTTGATGCTGAAAGGTGGAGAACAATACAAACAGGCCATTAGGACTTCATAAAGGGTGACCATGACTGCTTAATAGAGGTGGAAATTACAGTTAGTTATTAAGACTTTGAAAATCAACCCCTTAATACAGGGTGACTACTTCATACAGTGCCCCTTAGTACAGGTTTAACTGTACCTCCTTCCTTTTCACAAGCTCTCTAATGGCCCAAAATGAATGTTGTTGTCTTTGTTTTAGGAAAGTAAGTTAGATGATATAATATTACAGCATGTTAATAGTTTTGTAGATATTACCTGTTGAGAAAATTGATAAATAATTAACCATGTCTCTCTTGTACAAAGGTGATTTCACTGGAAGTGAAAAGTCTCTGTTGAACCGTATCATTTATTACCCTGGTAGCAAACCCACAGTTTTGAATGTATCTGGGGAGAAATACATTTTACCTGCAGATTGCAACTTCTTGATGTCTGATGCACAGAACTTAGGACCTCTTGTTAATTATGGTTAGTTTAACCATGATATGTTAACCCTAGTTAACTCAGTCTATAACTCCCTTTGGTGACAAGGTCAGACTTAACAATAAAAGCTAAGTTTTTTGTTTGTCTCACGATGTAGTCACGTATGATGTAGATCACAACATTTCGACTGCATACTGCTAGTCTTCTTCAGGCAATAAGGTCGACTGGTCATGCATGATCTTATAAAGCATGATGCTCTGCTGTGATTAGTTGTTTTTCAACAGCTCTGATTGGTGCATTTCGATCCTTGCTGTTCACTCAGTCAAAAAAAGTCAGACTTTCTCCTTACAATATCAATACAAATTCAAGCAGACCAGTGATGAGAATAAAGAAAAATACAAATTGGGTGATTATTGGTTGATCTAATACCAAGTTCTCTAAACTAACATCATAAGAATAGTATGGCAGACAGTAAGGAGAATTACAAGTGAGATCTTGGGAGTGAAAGGGTCAAAAGAAAGCAGTGGCTTTTTCAATATTTTAGTAATGACTCAGACATATATTTATCATTTGCATCCTCAACAGCCCAATGCTATGGAGGTTATAACTTGCTGGTGTTGGATCCTCCATGGTTCAACAAATCTGCGAAGCGTGGCTCAAAGTGAGAGGATTTTCATTTTTTCTTTTTTCATGGCTAACCCTAACCAAAAAATTGTGCACCATTCCGGATCAAGCTTGCTCCCTAAATTGGAAAGAGTTAAGTTTAACAGTCATACAACATTACTGAATGGAGAGAGAAAAAGCCCCTTATCCTTCCAAAATATAGTATTAACCATACTTTACTTTACTCATTATTCCTCTTCCCTCAGCCAGGCCTTCATCAACCTAGTATGGCTTGAAGTCTTATTTTGTTAATCTTTACATAATTTTATATATCTTTTCAAGGTATTCCTTCATGTCATTATGGCAAATAAAATCACTCCCAGTCCCTTGCCTTCTTGCCCCTGGTGCTCTGGTGGGGATCTGGGTTACCAACAAACAGAAGTACTTAAGGTTTACAAGGACAGAGCTCTTTCCTCATTGGTCCATGGAGCTAATGGCAGAGTGGTACTGGGTTAAAGTAACAAGAAAAGGAGAACTTGTGACTGATTTAGATTCACCTCATAAAAAACCATATGAGCCACTGTTATTAGGACGTTTTAATCCAAAGATGGATGGCCTAAGGTCATCTTGTTGCCTCATAAATAATGAGAAAAACTCTTCTGAAAAGGAGATGGAATCAGCCTTTGTTGATAGGGGATCTCTCAATGAATCTTCACTTCCAACTAAAAGGAAAAAGATCAGTGATAATGATGATGATATCAGGACAGAATACACCTGCGATATAAATAAAAATACAGCTATGGCAATTTCACTTGAGTGGAATCCACCATCAATATATAAATCAGTTGGGGAAATCACCAGCCAAGACAGTAGACATTGTGAAACAGGAGTTCAGAATCCTAGAAATTGTTGGTTAAATTGTCAAGGAGTATATCATGAAGATAAAATGGACATCACACAGGGCTTGAATAGTCCAACTGAGGTTGTGCAAAAACAACAAGCTATGCAAAAGGTTAAGGAGCAGGAGCAGAAAGGCAGTATTGGTATTACGAAAAATAGTTTGAAAATCTCAAGTGAGCAATCAGAACCTAAAGAGCTAGAGCCAGATTCTAAACCTTGTGAGTTGTTACCCTATCATCAGATCATATGCAGTGTTCCTTGTAAGATTCATTCCAGGAAGCCTCCTCTGCATGGTGAGCTAAACTTCTCCTAACTTATAAATTGTTAAAAGCACTAATCTACTCATGTATAGCTGCCTCAAGATAACTACCACAGGTACAGCAGATATGTTTCATGGAGTACACTCTATGGAAAAACCGAACTGAAGCATGAAGCTAAATAATGTTTTAGATATTCCCAGTTTCTTTTTCATCTTTCATATCATAAAATTTCAGAAAACTAATGAAAAGATATGTGTCCAGCCAACAAATTTAAATACCAAGGACACTTTTTGCCAATAAAATTTAAAAAGATTTTTTTGAATTGTTTTTTCTTTGATCTAAGCAAATAGGAATGTGTGTATATGGTCATTATATTGCCTGGTAGGCCTTATTTTAGTTAAAGATGCCTTTGAGTTAAGGACAGTTACAATGTACATCTTACATCCTTTCCTAATATTTTACATAGAGGACTATATTATATATTTTCCACAGTAATGACCACATACAGTGTACCAATTCTTATCTACAATTTATGAAACCTTGTTTTTGTTTTGTTTTTCTTTCATCAGAAATCTTTTCAAAGTACATGCCACCTAATTCATTATGTCTGGAAATGTTTGCTCGAAATCTAACTCCTCACTGGACCAGCTGGGGGAATGAGGTAATCACTCAAGCTGTTTGATGTTTTTGTTACAACTGCCTTACAGTGCACGAGTCTGTTTGTTTTTTACCTCATTTTACTGTACTTAATACTGTCATTGTCTTTTCTTGATTGACTTAATTTGAAAAGTGTTCTTCGTTTGTTTGGATCTTGTCAAGGTGAACATCAAAATATCACGAAGAGTCATTCAAAATAGAAATTCCCTTTCCCCATACAATGAATTTTATTTTTAGTCTTTAATGGATAGCCTTGCTTTTCCTCTTTGCAATTCAATTTGAAAAAATGATTTCATTTCTTATCACCAGGTGCTTAAGTTTCAGAGCATGGAGTACTTTGAAGAGTGTACAACTGAACAAGTACCTAGAAAAATCCAAGAAAAAAATAGTATTCTTACAAATTGCTAACCATGACCTTGTGGTGGCTGTGTATCATTTGCTTCCAAGTTTCTGATAGTAGAAGGAAGATTCTTTAGCATTTTTGCTGAAAGCTGTGAAGTACTGTCTTTGATTAGTAAAATTTGTTATCAGAAGTTGAAACCTTTGTAGTTTTTGTTGCAAAATCACCCCCACAGTGTGTTAAGATTGCAGAGTTGTCTCAGCAACCAAATTTTCTTCTTGGTAGCAAGCTTCATTGTAGCACATCCTTATATCTAATAAAAACGCATTATAGACCAGGGTTCAGTTGTATAAAGGGTAGATAACGCTATCCGACGTATAAATCGCTATAAGTGATAACAAAACGTATAGCGTTATCCACCGGATAGAGATTTATTCAGTGGATAGTGTTATCCGACCTTCGAACAACTAAGGCCAGAAAGTTATTTATTAGAGACCATGGATGTTTCCGGAAATGTAATGTAAGAACTTAATAACATCTGCATCCCATACAATTTTGCGCTTCCTTCATCCTGTTAAACTAGAGAAAAGCCTTAACCTGCATTATGAACTGTCGCTTACAATAACGTTGTTGCATTTAGGAGAACTCATGTTTCAATTGTTTGAATTGGCGTTAGTATGATTTAATAGGAAATTAAAGAAAATGACCTTCAATTAGTTTTACTTGTAAAGAAAACACATGGTTGCGTTGCGTTTTTCAAACTCAACAGGTCGTACCATCATTATGGCAGATTGTCCCAGACCTTTTGACCTTAGTGCCAGAAAATAGCAAAGAAAAAAGAATGTGAAGAATTGTACAATTTCCTGATCTGAACTCACTGTTTACAAAGTAGAAAACAATTATGATCAAACTTCTACAAACAACATCACAATTAAGTACTGAACACGGACATCATCTGCAAAGGAAATGTTGTCTAAAACTGACACGATTTCAGAAAAGACTTAATTATTTCAATCATTTCTTACTATAATTAAAAATGTAACTGTGCGGGTCAGGGAATTGTAAATTTGGTTAGATTCTGGTAAATTTCGCTGAAAAGAAGGGACTGTCCGTTGTCTATGTGTGGTGGAGATCCATACTCTCTGAAAATTCCGTAACGTAACCTGTGTGGTTATTTTACAACAACTACTGACTCAACTCGGTCTCTCTCTCTACTTTCTCGTCATCAAAATCTGGAATAGGTTTGAATGAATTCAGTTTGTTCGTCTTGATTTACCTCCTTATGTTTCAGATAGATTTAAAAATCTGGAATGAGTGAGAGAAGCAATATGCTAGCCTATCTCTTAATTAAAGTTGTTGACAACTACCATTAATTAATGTTTAAGTAATTAAAAGCGGTAAGAGGGCGGTTTGCGAAAGAGGGAACATTAGTTGCAAGCTGGCAATACCAACACGTCTGTTGTACTGATCATCAAGATTTTTAGAAACTTTACACTATGATTTACAATTTGTGATTCTCAAGGTGCTCTGATTTATTACAGGGCTTCCTAATCAAGTCTTAAATGTATACAAGATGCATACGAAGAAATCAATCTGGAAGATAGGTAATTCCCATTTTGGAAATTCTTGAACTTAAGGTTATCAGTAAAATATTCTTGGCGTTCGGCCTGTACTTTTCCGAACTTTGTTTTCCTTTTTGAGCTAAGTTTAGAATCGTTGTTTATCAAAAGCTCCTTTCACAAAGTACAACGCAATTAGTGTAATGGTGAATGAAAATCTCTTTAAACAGACAGAATACGCGCAAAACTGAAAACCGAAAGTGATTTTCGTAGGTTCTTTAGTCTGGTGTAAAGCTTGGACTAATCTGTGATAAGAAATCTCTATAGTTTGATAACGAAAAAAGAAGTCGGATATCATTTGCTATTGACCCAAAATGCTTATTTATATGTCTATTGCTGTAACGCACGTGTTATACAAACTGAATGATTCCGGAAAAACCACTCAATTTAACGTTTCACGGGCAACTAAAGACGAGTGTTTTAAAGTTAGCAAGACGTTTCCAATACCATGATCGTGGTGGAGAATATCATTCAACGATGCAGCACTTTGTAATTCAGATTTCGTGTTAGTTTGTTTTTCTTTCGATGATAAGTTTCAGAAATAACCTGGACATCTTACACCTTCAACCGATTTCCGTGTTTACGGTTTCGATTAACAAACAAAACACTCGAGTTGTAGTAGATCCTACGCTTTCCTTTTTCCACTTGAGCAAATGCTCTCGTTTATCGCAAAACAAACATTTCTCTCCATGTCTAAATTTATAGCAACAAATTAGTTTCTCCTGATCATATACCCAGCTTGGTTTGATATTTTCATGTGTTTTTTCTCTGACCTTCATTCGGCTTCTTCAATCCGTATTTCTGATGTAAGTGAATCCACACTGACACGTTCTAAATTCAAGGTGGATGACAAACCTCCATCGCTACCAAGAGTTTCACAGCTCGAACTCGGAGAACATTGTTCAGAATCCACAACAAAATCAGAGCAAATTCCAGTTTCTTTTGAATCCATGTCTTTTAACACAGTACTCAGAAACGTGATGTATTTCATAGCTAGTTTAAGAATCTCGTGCTTGGAGAGTTTTTTGTCTGGTGGATAAGTTGGAAGAAGTTTTCTCAGCTCACCAAAGGCCATGTTGACATGATGCTGTCTCCATCTTTCTCGACTGTTTGTGAAATTTCTTCGACTTTGGAAAGGATTTTCGAAGCCAAAACTAACGGGTCTCCTTCTTATAGTTGTGCCAAAATATCCCAATGGAATGGATGCACTATTGTAATAAGGTGAAATCACTGGTTTCCGAGCTCGCGTGCAGTTGTGATGTGTTCCTTTCCTACAAGACATCGCTCATATTGCGTGATCTCCGAATATATCAAGATGATCCAGGCTATGCGGAGTTACTTGGCAAAGTCTTCCATATGCGATATCTACCCCCAATACTGATCTACTAGACAGTCTAAGTATATCGATAGTTACGTGATTAAACTCCAAATTAGGACTATACTATCTCGTGCACAGGAGATAAAACTTTTGACAGAGTGAAACGATATACTGACGAGTTTCCCCTGGTCTTGTTTACTAGAAATAGCAAGCCCTTGAGATAAGTTTCCCTATTTGTCAAAGCAATATCAGGTCTTGTTTTGATAAATATCGAAATGTAGTCTGTATGAGCCAATCCGATGTCAAAACTACCGTCATATCAGCAAAATCTAAAAACCTCCAGGTATCGCGGACTAAATTACAAAACTCCCTCCAATGTCAAGTTAACCACCAAATGTCTTTTCTCTCTCTCTATTATGATCTTGTGCGAAGGTGACGCAAACGCGCGCAAGTCATAGTTTTCCAGAAATGTGCATCTTTTGGAAAAAGTAACTGTTACATAAGGGTTTTTTGTCATATTCAAAATGTCTGTTTTTTTGGGAGGGTGGATTAAGGAATGAGTACAATGTTTAGTTTAGACTTGTCTGTTGAATTTGACGTGACTCATTATCAAGTTGCTTTTTTGTTGACTTAACCTTTTAAGCCTGGAGAAAAAGCAATTATTTGAGTTTTACGACAACGCCTACCCACAGTGGTTCTTCAAACAAACTACTTTAAATATTTGAAGTACAAAATTAATAGGATTAACATACTTGAGTTCAGCCACGCAAACTTTATACACCAATCGATAGTAATTACCTTAGGGATCCACAAACTGCCGGTTTTGAAATACCATCAGATAAAAGACTTGTAATTATCTTAATGTCTTTTTATAATCCCGACTAATTAGTGGGAAGGTTACTTTTCGCCTATGAAAGCTATGTAGAGAAGCTTATTGACTGCCAAAGGAGTCCACAACTGGACTGATATACCGAAGTAGGACACACGCACGTTCCAGAAATTTTTTTCAGTCGCGAACGTCTTAGTCAATATTGTATTGTGAGTTAACGTAATAGATTTAAGAGCATTCCTGAAGTGAAGAGAGCCAATTTACTTTAGTGGTTTGTATTTCTACGAATTAACTATAAATCACCCGAGTATAATTCCGGGTATAAAAGGGATATGTGATAAAGACGCCATTTAGCACTACTTTGGTGAGATATTAAACTTTCACCTCAACTAAGTAGTTTTTGAACTGTACTTTGGATTGTACAGTGGTTGTCTTTGAATTTCGTGCACGGTTAAGATGAAACTCACCATGAAATTTAATGAAATCTAATCAATCCAATTCACGACTAATAGAAAACAGGACATTCGTGAGAACCCAACAGGACATCGGAGACAGACAGGCTCAATACACCGCTGAGAGCCACAACGATTGAGGCTCAAGGTAATCAAAGACATTCAATTAATCCCTTTAATACATTCCAAATTTTATATTTAAGAATACTGAAAGGGAACTTTGTCGACCGATTTCGATCAGAGAAACTAAAATTGATCTAAGATCAGGCTATAATCTACAGCTTATCTACAATATATGTACGTCACTTTGTTAACTAGAAAGTTCGCTTATGTCAAATTGACATGAAGATACTGCAAATCCTGAACTAGTTGCACTAATACCCTCTGTATGGCACCATACCATGAAAATTTTAAGATAGTGTAGGAGACAATTATCTTATTTCTCGATTTGTCATTGTTCATTTGTTGACAGAATATAACCACAAGTATATCCTGTGCTACGCTTTTACTTAGAAAATAGGCGTTCATTTGCGCAGAGCGCAAAAAAAAGAGAGGTTATTTTTACAAGTCGCACTACCATCGTTCACGGTTTATCTACAGAAACTCCAGAACAGGCCAGGCCAGAAGTCGTTGCTTTATTACACCTGAGTCGAAGAAAATTCTAGTTTAAGAGAGCACATAATCAACACAGCTCTGCTGGCTTGTAGTGGAGTTATTATTAGCTAAAGTGCGCTGGCTGTGAATGCAGTCAACAAGAAGAAGACCTCAACAGTATCACTAAACCTTGTCTACATCTGGTCTGTTAATTTCGTCTCAGTGTCAAAGTGTTGAAGTTAACTCAGTCTCTTGCGATGAAGAAACAGTTTATGAAACAGACAGCTCTTGATATGTTTGCCACATTTCGCCTTAAAAAGTACATGCATAGGTTAAGAAAGTCGTAATGTATTGATTAAGAACACTTTGATTGGGGAGACGAGCACAGTGATTACATAATTCACAATTTTCTTTAATTGGTTCAGTGTTGTGGTCTCAGACATGTAATCCTGAAGATTCCAGTGGGAAAGAAATGTCACTCGAAGTGATTGCTATCTCAAGAAAATGACGGAAACGATTTTACACCATAATGGTTAATTACTTACATGTAAAGAAACAGATTAACATTTGTGGTGACTTTGTATTTGCCGACTGAATTATCTGCCCTTTGATGTCAAGTTGCCACACATAATACAAACTAAGATGAGCTGAGTTACATTCCTGTCAAGTTTTTCACTTTCTCATACAATATTTGCCTATTCTAACCTCTATTTAGGGACAATTTAACCCCTAACTCTCAAGGTCTGATTGTTAATTCTCCCTCCTAGCTGCTACACATATCCTTGTAAATTAGTTACGAGAATTTGTAGTTAGATCAAGACAACTTCTTCCTGAAAGGTTTGAGTATTCTCATTACCTGTCTGCTGGATAATGAATGACTATTTTAGGGAGAAGTTACATGTTAATCACTTCTAGGAGTTAAAGGGTTGAAGGCAGAGCTAGGCACCAATCAAAAATCCTACTGCACGAAAAACGAAAGACGAAAACAAATAAATAAATTAATTAATTAATAAAAACCCACGGAGGAAACCCTGAGAGAAAATATTTTCTACTATGCATAGTAAACAATCCTTGCTATTACATAAGCTGTGACTCCGTGACATAAAAAAACTTCGTATGAAATGTGAAAAAGTGCGAAGGCAATTTTTGCAGTGGAGTTCTGAGAGAAAGTAAGAAAAAACCATATCAATGCTAGTCCAAGTCTAAGGCAAACTTGAAACCGCAGAAAGTGTTTTCAAACTTGCTCTGTTGTGATTTTATTTTCTTTGGCGAAAATCATCAAATATTGCCCAACAAATTCACAGCACCATCAAGAAATCGATATGAACGGCGCTGAACGAGGGTTTTTTTGTACATAAAATACCCTCTTCGTTATAATATGACGTTAAGCTTACCTATCTTAGAATGATTTATTCAACTTTAAAACATATCCGAACAAACTATAAATCAAACCTACAATTTTGTTAGCGACACATTTTCCAGGTTCATTGTTTAATAATTATCGGTCAGTGTTTTCCATAACCTTGCTACATAACTGAAATCAAGCCTCCAAGTTGGCTTTCCTGCTGGCTCTGACCTACAGCTCAGCTGGGGAACTGTTGTTACATATACATATCCTTACCAGCCTAATTAAAGATAACCTTTTCAAACAAGCTCATTACATTCTTCGAGTGTCAAATCACTGCATCACTTTACACGGCTTTTCCATATTTAACTCATACAGTATTAAAGTATTAGACTTATCAACTGGTCGCATCTCTGTGATGTTTCAGGTATTTCCTTCGTTTTGTCGCCTGCTTGTCCGCCTCTCGAGTAAATAAGTGGTCGGTAAATAAGTGAGGTCCGTAAGCTACGATATCACCCGGATTCTATTTCAACCTTTTGAGACTCATATCTTACGGTTTTCGTCTCTTTTATGTTCACATAATTTAGAAACAAGTTAGAAAAATACAAACATTCAATATATTAACAAAATTAAATTAAGTAAGCATGTGTCTTATAGAATCGTGGAAGATACAAATCGTCCATGAAAAACTTCTCTGCAGGCAACAAAAACATTGACGAGTCTGGAAACAACTAGGTAACCCATGGTAAGAGTAAATGTTTTACTTAGTTGTAGAGTTTTGACCCTTAACTCACAGAAGTGATTTCCATGCAACTTCTCCCAACAATATCCATACACCAATCAACAAACAGGTAATGAGATTACTAAAACTTATCAATCAGAGGTTGTTATCGTGATCTAACACCAAATTCTTGTAACTAAATTACAAGGAAATGTGTAAGAGCTCGATGGGAGAATTAACAATCAGATCTTGGGAGTTAAAGGGTTAAAAAAGTTTTCGTCCTTAATGGTCATTAGTTATATTTTTGAGTTACACTGAGATAAATCCCCATTCAACCTTAACATAACACACGCTTTAGGACAGAAGATATTGAAGCCAAGTTTAACAAGTTTTAATCCTGGATAAACACTCACTGCTTTCTGTACCACCGGGCCTAACAAAACACCGGGCTTAAAAAAAGTGAAGGAAACAGCTTATTGTTCTAGAGATTATGAACCAAGCTTGAGGTCTGTTTATAACTAGGCAGTCGTGATTCAATGTCACTTGTTCCTTTCTCAAATAAACTTGTTGCACGATTTTATCAGCTCGTTTAAAAAATAAAGTAATTTTCTTGCTCCTCAATTACGCCACGTAAACTGTAAAACAATAATTGAAAAGATTCTAAGCTATGTATGTTTGAATTGATGGAAATGTTGCGTGAGAATATGGACTGAGAAGTCAGTAAGTACTTGACACCGTGCTATATTTAAGTTACTTAGGTAGTCGATAACACAAATTACTCCAAGAATTTAGAATTTCTGCTCTACGCAAACCTGAACTGTCGCCATTCAATCAGGACGTAATTATAGTGGTGGATGCAAGCCCCCTCGGAGTTAAATTAACTTTAACACACGAAGAAATAAAATCAGTTTTGACAATTGATAAAATGTCAATGAGTGCCGAACTATTCAAATGGTTTTGAGCAGTAATCTTTAAGCCAGTTAAACATCTTTTCAAGATTCACCCTTGGAGTTGAAGCAAAAATTTAATTATGTTCTCACTCAGCGGTTCAAATTAACGGAGTTTGGTCGCACTTGGGGTATTCCAGACGACAACAAATACAATTAGTTATCATAACCTTCATATGACAAGGATTGAGGTATCACTGACACATGTTCTGTTCTTCAAACCACTCGTTATTTATCGTCTTGGGGGCGAAGACGGGGGATTTTAGGGGGGGGATCAGTCAGGGATCAGTAAGAAGGGAGGACTATGGGAAATTAACTGTCAATAAAAACAGGGGGGCATCACTAGAATACTACAGAGTCTTGGGGGGGGGGGGGGAATGCGACACACGCAAAGGAGAATACACAGTTTTGTTACTTCCGACAACAGCCATCACTTCGGCCAGCCAATGAAATGCAATACCACTCCGAGAGACCAATTGTTACTTCCGTTAAAAGAACCTCCAGCAAGAAATGAAAGAGCAGAACAGCCCTGGTGACGAGGTTGTCAATTCCTGAGAGCGAGATTCTAGAGGAAGCGTGAATGTTCAACTCTGAAAGTGACCAGCAACAAATTTCTCATCACATGGTTACCTCTAAATCAAACAATACGGTCATGAGAATTAAGGTAATGATCACCAACTAAAGAAGCTCTTGATTGTTAAACAAATTCTCCTTGTGAGCACCTTAGGAAATATAAAGAACAGGAAGGAGAATATGCATACTGATGTTAGGGTGTAAAGGGTTAAATAAAAATTGACGAGAAGTTTTTGTCACTGGCGTAGGACAGAGAAAACGAAATCTGTGTCTCCTACAAGAAATCGAACCTCAGAATTTCCGATTTAAAAACAAGGTCTGTATTGGACTACATGCTAATAGGATCAGCAATTGTGCAACATTGCTCTGATATACAATCTTCCATTTCCTTTGAACAATCAAACTTGTTTCCACGAGAAAAAATTCCGATTAAACAGTTGCCTCCCTCAATATCTTAACACAAGTACCATCAAGTGAATTTGTCCAATCGGCCTTTCTTAAATAAAGAGGACTAATGATGATGTCTCTGAGAAAAAAAGTAGAAGAAAAATCAGCAATAACAACAGCACCAGTTGCAGAAAAACAATTTGCTTGAATGATTTCAGCAAAAAGCAAAGTCAATTATATGAAGTCAGAAATTGACGCAGAGGAGAAAACAACGAGTTAAACCACAAGACAGACGTTCATGACAAACACGTCGAATAAGGGAGGATAGGTTTTACCTCGCCGGCCTAAGAACAGATAACACAGACAAAATACAAACAAACAAGGGAAAATCCACTGAAAGCAAAATGTTGGTAGTCAATTGGAATCTCCTGATAAAGCTCAACCTTTTTGTCGATGGAAAAATGTTATATTGAACATCAGATTACAAGAATAAAATTGGGAACTCTTGTTTACTGTGCGCGATCCGAGTGCTTCTCAAAAGACATATGGATAATCATGTACCCTATGGTTAAAATCTCTTGAATAACTCAGCTTAACCCTTTGACTCTCATCAGAGACCAATATGCATTTTCTCCTCACATTTTTCATACGCTGAAAGGCCGACATTTAACGAGAATCTTTAAAATCATCAGCTTAGGAATATTTTTCAGTTGCGGCACAAAATTCTCAAGACTAGCTTACAAAGAGATGTATGGTATTAGTAAGGAGAATAACTCTTCAGATCTTTGGAGTGGTAATGTTAACGAGGCGGCTTTGAGCCTGATTTTATCACTGTGCAAACCATTCATCGTCTTCAATTTTACCGACCAGAAAAAGGCGACTGCTTTGTAAACAACAAAGCCACGAACTTTTTACAATTTAAGAGGTTTAAATTACGTAAATCGCTTAAATGAGACTTTGAATGACGCTCAAAGTTTGATTTTTCCCTTCGCTGTGACGGACCGCACGCGTGGTATATCGATTAGAGGGTGTTAAAGTGTTATCATCTTAAGAGCTGAGAACTTTAATTGGATTAAAGAAGAACAATTATATAGCTTGACAATCAACACAACAGACAAGTAGAGCTCGGTAGAGATGGAGAACAACAGCACAGCCAACAAACCCTCCAAGAAACTCAACTTCAACGAAACTGGTGTTTTCCCGTTCCTGTCTTCCTCTGCCGCAAGTCTGGATTTTACGATTCCAGACATTGAAAACCAACTTCTTGCCGTAAAGACACTCGGCGTCGAAAGGAATTTGATTACCAGCAGTAAACGGGAGCGTTGGCGACAACAAAATGTCAACATGGCATTTTCCGAACTACGAAAACTCCTCCCGACTTACCCACCGGATAAAAAGCTCTCCAAGGTAGACATTTTAAGAACAAGTATCAAGTACATTCGGTTTTTGGACAGAGCGTTAAAAGAAATGGACAAAGCAGATGAAGAAAGAGAGGGACACAAGAATGGAAGAGTGGAATCTCGTTCTTGTGAAAACAGAGATGGAGTAACCTTTACCGAAGATCAACACAGGCCTTCTTGCTGTTTCCATAACTTAGAGAGATCTTGAGCGGGTACTACATTGATTTTCAAAAGATCTTGCCTGAAAGTTTCACATTAAGATACTCTGGGACATGAACAATAAATAAACACCGCAATATTGGTTTACAAGAAGAAACCTGTAAATGCAAAAACAACAAAAACATCCGTTGTCAAGTTTTCCCATCAAGCATTTTAACCGGTAGCAAAGAAGTTTTTCTCGGTTTGACTACAGTAGAACTTAGTACTATGAAATAAGTGGTAAGTTATCATTTCATTTCGTAAAAATCTTCCTAAATATTTCCCCTTTTTTGAAATATTCGTTTGGTGGGCTAATAGAAACAGTTGTTGACATTTGAATTAAAGGATTATCTCCATTGAAAAATTGACTCTGTCTCAGATATGGTAACAGATTTACAAAAATTTACATATGACTGTATTTGATTATTACGTGAAAAGAAATGAGGTTGACATGACGATTATTTCAATTACAGAATTAAATCACAACTTGCAAATTAGAAAACATAGATACTATTCTCGAGACACAAGTAAAAAGAAAAGTATTATCTTTTTCGGTAATCATAATTAACAAAAGGATTTAGGATCATCAATTTTAATGAATCAAAAACATGTTCTGTAAAATCTACAAAAGGGCTCTAGGATTGGAATCTTTTAGTTTGATCTAAAATGTTCTGATCCTCATGCGATGGAGGAGGAATCAACACTCAACTTCCACCATTTATTTTACGCAAACCACCAAGAAATTTAGCTCTGTGAAATCATTCCATTACGAAGTCATATCTTTCATTAGTTAAAAGATCTAAGAATGTATGGAATGGTTAACAAAAAGAGGAAACATATAAGTGGAAAAACACATTTTCTTACTATTTTTACTTTGTCTTCCTAAGAAATGCAAATTGGAAAAACGTACCGGGAGAGAAAACGTCGCTTAACGAAAACTCTTAAAAGTATGGATTACCATGACAACAGCCATGTAAGAAATCTTCCACAACTTGAACAAAAAAAAGCTGGGTTCAAACCATTTATTTAACAGCTCACAAATACAAGAGAGCATCAGTGTTCAACTGCACGAAATAAGCTCTGTAACTGCTCTGTGATCAAGACGTGAAAAATCAGTACTGTTTTTAAGACAACTTTTTAAAGCAAAGTTACGCAATCATTCCAATACCATACACCCCACCCCACCCCACTCCACTATAAAACACCCCACTCCACTCCACTACAAAACACCCCACTCCACTCCACTACAAAACACCCCACCCCACTCCTGCTAGATCCAAAGTCAAATCAGTCGCCATATTTCATATTGAACTTCCTTGCAACTGACATTTATGATTGACGAGGAGTTTAAACATCAAACACCTCCGTTGGCTAATATTAACCGAAAGTGAAGGATAATCGAGAAACAGATCGTTAAAAATACCCCTAAAAACATCCTAGGAATTTATCATGTAAACTTCTAAACTGACTTTGATGGATTACTGGGAGCTCTTCCGATTGGGTGTCATGGAACAAAAAACCAAAATTATCCTCACGGCCAATCAGAACGAAGGAAAATATCACAAGTAGCCAATGAGAACTCAAAGTAAAAACAACCAAACAGCTAAAAGCGCGGGAAAATGCAAGTGACCAAGGCGTGACTAATTTCAGTTTTGAATTTAATTTTTTTTCCGTAGTACAAGTTTCTTTGCCAATCAGAAAGCACAGGGAAACAAAACCAACCATATCCAGGATTTCCTTCTTCAGCAATTGTAGTCATCCATGAATTCCGTTTACCCAGTTCCGCGGTTGGTTTTTAATTGAATGACAAATAAACTCCAAAACAACGGAAAACAATATCAATTACCAAAGGAACGTGAGTAAAATTTGTTTCTGATAACATTTGTTTCCTTTTTGAACATTGTAAACCTAAAATTTACTATCGACAGGAATAATTTCCCACAATTTTATGGGCCATTTGTTAAGAGTCCGTTAACCCTTTAACTCCCAGAAGTGACCAACATGTAACTTCGCTCTATAATTTCCACACTATTTTTAGCAAACGATTAATGAGGATACTCAAACTTATCAGATAGAAGTTAGCTTGATCTTTCACCAAATTCTCGCATCTAATTTACAAGGAATCGTCTCGCAGCAAGAGGGGAGAATTAACAATCAGATCTTGGGAGTTAAAGGGTTAAATTCATTGTGAGTGGGTTTCTCTCTATTAGGATCGTGAGCCGCCTATGTATCATGCCACTTTCTACATCAGCAAACTTTCATTAACAGGTGTTAAGACACTTAAGAAATCCCTAAAAATAACTTATTTCGCTCGGGTTTTTGTCCGATGCGAACATAAGGAAGCTTAAAACCTCAGCACTAAGAGGTGAAAATCCCTAACATCCGTTGTTTGTTCGATGATTTGCGTTTTCATTTTTTTTTTCTTTTTTGGGAAACAGGAAGCACTGATTTTAGCATTGAAACCTCAGAATTCACCGCCGAAGAAACCACATGACATAATATTCAAAATGACAAAAGAACGAACAAGTAAAGTTTTGGGTTGAGTTACTAGTTCTCTCTCTCCATAGTAACCATTCATTGATTGTCACGAAATGTTTGGCATGCGTGACGGCCAAAACGGTTTCATAAACTTTATGAATTCCGGCCTACTACTCTGAACCTTTAGAAAAGACAACAACGCACTATTCACATGATTTGGGCACAATTTGTAATCATTACAATAATTCGTTATCCACTAGCTTCTTCTCAGCCTCAAAGTTTTTGAGGAGGACGTTAATATAGTTGATAAAATGAGCGATGAGTCAGGGTTGAGACGCCATGGAAAATAATGTAGAGGCTAATTTTCAACTCGAATCTGTGTATACATAAAACTTTCCAGTGTATAAAAACAGAAAACTAAACCTAGACATCCTTTCGATGCAGGTTATTTTGAGAACAAAAAAATAATTAATAACATAACTGCGTTAAGAAAAAAGTATGTTCGTGCAAAACCGCAGACCAAAACCGACTTAATAAGAGATATCAATTAAAAAAGGGTCTACCGCGCCTTGGAAATATTAGAAACATTCAACAGTGAATTGTCATCTCAACACACGAAGCTGTAAATTAACAAGAATCAGAAAAAGCTCAAAATGTGACATATTAGCCGATGGGTGTGGTCGGCTATTAAACTGCTTAATACTGGCAGGCATGCAACTAATGAAGAAAACAGCTGAACAATGAGACCTCACTGGATCTAACAAAACTGTCTGTAACAAAATAACAGCATCAAATAGCCTCAATCGACAAATATCGTCTGAGGGAGAAATAATATCCTACCAAGAATATTAGGTAAGTGGGTGTGTATTCACTTGAATCAGTGGCATGCAATGACGGTTAATACTTCCATTGTATGACAGGAAATAGACCATTATATATCTTTTTAAGAAGAAAGAGAACACCACTATCTCATAATGATAATGATAAGGGATATATATAGCGCTAAAACTGTAAACAATATTCAGAAGCGCTTTACATACGTTAAAGTTCTATCCTAATTAAGATTAAAATATTCAAAGGCAATAAACATTAGAACTATTGAAACAAACTGAAAGCTTTCCTAAATAGAAATGTTTTAAGTGGCTTTTTAAAAATGGTGAGGCTACTACTTGTTCTTATAGTTAATGGCAGCGAGTTCCATAAAACAGTTGCAGCATGAGCAAAGGCCCGATCCCCAAGTGAAGAGCAGTTGGCTTTTGGAACGAACAGAAGAGATTGAGCAGACGAGCGAAGAGCATAATTAGTAGCTGGTTTCAGGGACAAAAGATCTTTAATGTAAGGAGGACTTTGATTGTGTAAGGACTTGTAAACAAAGAGGAGCAATTTAAACTGAACTCTGAACGTTACTGGGAGCCAGTGTAGGTCGATAAGTGCAGGTGTGATATGGTCAAATTTTGGAATCTGAAAAATCACCTTAGCCGCAGCATTCTGAACTTTCTGTAAGCGATCGATTTGATATTAAGGTAGACCGAAGAGAAGTGCGTTACAGTAATCAAGGTGTGAGGATATAAAAGCGTGGACTACAATTTGAGACATCCACAATACTTTCCTGCTCAGCGAGCGACTTCAACACAAAGGCTTATGTTATTTCTTGGAAAGAAATGTTGAAACTTCTGAGCTACATTTACTTCCCAATCTCATAATCACGCACGCGCAAACCCCGCACGCAATCAAGACTATCGTTGCCCTTTCTTCACTAACTGCAGTTGCAAAAGAATATCACAAAATTAAACAACCTTAAGACAAACTAAACACGAAGTAACTTTTTCTTTTAACATAACAAAAATAAACTGATATATTAATAAAAAAAAAATAACAACAATGACTGAATAGCATCAATACCATGATGATGAAAAAAAATATGATTGCAATTGAGCTTTTCGTTAATTCAAGTCTTTTTTTAAACATGGCCCAATTTAATTACGTGAATAAATAGCTAGTTCAACCCATAACTTCTGGATACCAGATTTTTAGCAGGACCATTAACAGTCTATTATGGGGCAAAGATGTATCGTTATGTCTTGATTTCTTATGGTTTTAAGATACCTTTAGTAAAACAACCGTTTTCTGAAGCTGCCGGCAGACTCGAATTTCCCTAGTCAGTGTTCGCTGATCTACCACACTACGTTACAAATTCTCGAATTAACACATCACTGTGAAATAATCAACTATTAATTTTACATATGTCGTCTAAAGGCAAACCATTGACATTTATGGCAACTTAGACCATATAAACTTCACACTAAAATTATTCTGTCCATGCACCATTCAAGCAAACCATACTAGGAGGAGGATTGGAATAATTATAAAAATCACACTATCGAAAAAATTGTCTTGAAGGGTAGAAACAGGCGAGAGTAGAACACATAATGAGGGAGTTACTGAATTTTTATTTTACTTTTGAATTATTAATGCGGAACAAAACAAGGCGCTACAGCTTTGAATTGAATGATGGCGAGGATTCATGCTAATTTCTTGTTCGTCAAAGACCTTTCTTTTTAAAGCAGTCTGTGAATAAAATAATGAGAGTTTCTTTGGCGCTCAGTACACGCAATAAACACTCCTTCCATAACGAGTCAAGAAATATTCCAACTGGATACCTTAGAAACCGATTTAATCCAGTTATAGAGAGACACAATTTGCCACATCATAATGAATTTTACAAACCGCAAATCTTGTTCGTCAAAATACTTCAACAAACTGTAAATCTTTTTGTTGAAGTTTCCGACATTCTAAAAAAAACCTCAACAGACAAAACCGCCGTTTAACCAGCGTGTGTGTTTCACGAAAGAACTCTACCTTCCATTTCAATGAAGATATATTGTTTCAAAGAGGTCAAATAGGAGATTTCTTCAGTATCAAGACTGCCTTCATACCTACCTGTATGGCTAATTGTAGGCCGAATTTTGTTTACCAGATCCTTAAACGATAGTTTCCTTTCTTCCACTACCAATATCTTACGAATGTAAAAAATAAAAAAGGTGATTATATTTCTGAGAAAAGCAATGCCGCTAAGCTTCAAAAGAGTAACACAAAAAAATTAAAAGCTTATTAGAGAGCCGGCCGCAAACACGGAACGATGTGGATCCCACAACTCAGTGAATTCTTTAATATTTCCGGATAGTTTGGTAACACAAATAACATTTGGTAACAAATGTTGATCAACACAAATAGGGCAAAGGTATATTGCCTAAATAGGATTGATGGGAAAAAAAGGAAACTTCACTTCTTTTACACAGGAAAATCGACAATATCTAAATAATCCGGCAGGCATTATTGAGAAAAAATGTTTATTGCGTCACATAGGAAGACTTGGCCGGCACTCCTGTAGAGGAAACGGTATCATTCAAAACGCGCATTCCTTGCTCCTTTGACACGTTAATAGAAGACGTCATTTAGAGTTTGTGAATGGTTTATGTATGTCATTGCCGGGATTTTCAACATCCCACCACGAATTAAGAAAAACACTCGAGTCCTGCTGGTTCAAGCATGAAAATCTCTTCAAATGGTGAGAATAATCCCACGAGTTCTGTTATCCTTCCTACCAGTAAACGATATACCTCATTATCACTAAGGACTTGAAACAACACGCTACATTGTGTGGAACGAGCGTGATCAAAACGGACCGTACACACAAACCCGACATCTTTTGTGTCGTAAATTGTTTGCTTTGCAGACGACCGAGGCAAGTCAAACAATTCTGCTTTTGATTGGTTAATAAAACGCAGCCCAAGGTAGGTCTGCTGTAGGCCGTGTGACGCTAGAAAGTTATGAGCCGAAACTTGAAACGTGAATGAAAGTGATTTCATGCGAAATTCCTCGATATAAAAAAAAGAAAGATCTGTTTCATTTTAGAATTGAAGAGTCTACTGTCAGACATGAGACATCATTAAGACCACACAACAAAGACATTACTCACTAAACGACTACTAACAACTGTCTTAAAAAACAATTTGACACCATGCCACATAAGTGAGCTATCCGCGTGCGGATTGGTCTATAGAGGTGTTACGTTACGCAAAATAGAAAGTCCTTTGAAAGGTCAATTTCCTAACTCGGGAAACGAAACACGACACGAGCCTGAGCTGCTCACCGCCTTCGATGTACACCGAACGTTCTGGGGTAGCACAGAGCAAAAGGTTATCGGTGAGCTATTGTAAATGAAAAGCAATTAAGCTGATCGGTAAATTGAAGGCAGGCTGAAAACACGTTTGACAAAAGACAGGAAAATTGATCAGACGGACCGTGCGCGCGTGTGGTGTATAAAAGCTGCTGGTGTTAGTAACAGAGTACAGTTACTTTGCAGGACGAATCATGAACATGGATTATCAGCATTTTGAAGGAACAGCTCTCGAACCATATGCACATTCACCTGAAGGCTCTGCCTGCAGCTCGAGCGGGTCAGAAACAAGTTTAAGCCCGACACCATCGCCACAAGCTGCAATGTTTTACCCGCCAGGACACAGACTTACACTCTCGTACCACAATCACTGTCAGTCGTACATGAAACGACTCTACACAAACAGCAGAGAGCGGTGGAGGCAACAACACGTTAATCTGGCGTTTGGTGAGCTAAGAAAACTACTTCCAACTTATCCACCAGAGAGGAAACTCTCTAAGAACGAAATCCTTAGACTTGCTATGAAGTACATCCGATTTCTGGACGATCTTCTCAAAGACATGGGCGACAACAGCAAGCAGAATCAAGATTCACGCGAAGATGTCTCTGACACAAGGCTCAAAGAAGAAAGACGAGAAAAAGGACAATTACACTGCAAAAGACAAACCAACTGTTCTCTTTCATTCATGGAAGGAATGGAAACAAATGTTATCGACTCAAACGCGCCATCGATATTTGACGCGCATTAACTTTCTCTGAAGATGTCTACATTTTACAACACGCACAGATATTTCACATTTTCCGTATTAACTGCGGTCTAATGTGATGATATCAGTCTAATATCTGACAAATAAGGGCCTCAGTGGAACATTGTCCACGAATTGTTGCAGACTGGAATTGTAAATAGTGTAATTATTTCTAAGGCTGTTCTTTGTAATCGTGTTTACTGTTATCCTTTAACTTGTGTAAATAGTTTTTTTCCCCGCTGTTGTGTCTAGTTTGTTTGTTTAAGAGTTAAATCGTCTCTTTATTTGTAATGCGTTAGGATGTTGAACCCTCTAAAACTATTATGTTTATCTGTCCAGAGATTTGCCATCTAAAGAAACTGAGCGCTCTAATTAATAAACACTTTCTCTGATCAAGATCTTGTCATATTGTGCTATCATCAGTATATATTTCCGCTTCTGTTTTAGTAATTTTGGGGTTTTTAAGTAAATAAATAGCGCAAAAATTAATCGAACTAGGGTGTTAATCAAATTTTCACGCGTTGCGCGAAAACGCGCTTTAGTGGCTCACGGTTTTAAGTGAGGAGACTTGTGCACTTAAGAAATAATTCGCTGACTAATTTCACAAACAAAGAAAGCTATGTTATCTGCTTTCGTGCCAATGAAAGATCGGCTACCATTGAAAACATCAACGTACTTCATTCAAGTGTAATGTTTCTGTCTAATTCGGAGATTGTTGAGCTGATAAACTGAGTAACATTAAATTAATGAGAGATCAAGGACGGACAAATCTCTGAGAGCAAAGATCATTTTTGACAGCAAGGTCACTTGCGTCATGAAAATACTCAATAGTAACAGCTCTAAGGATTGTCAATGCACAATCTACAGCAATCTGATGAGCCGATAGCTGCGGTTTGTTTTCAAGACGCTTTAGGGGAAATAGTTTCTCTTATTTTAGGAACGATTGTTTTTCATCTATCATTTCAGTGTCCACACCTAATTTTTTGTCACACCCGTCCCCTACTGTGAGTTTGAAAATATAAGTTAACTTTTCACGTCGCAAAATTAGATCATTTACCTTTCCATCTATCTAAAATGTCTCTGTATATAACTTCTCGTCCGGGTAAACATCACGATATACTTGCACTAGGAGGCTACACGTTTATTGTGATTTGGAGTCAAAAAAAAAATTCGTACCTCACATTCAGTCGTTAATACACCATTAACATTACGTTAAACAAACTGCACTTCTATTTAAAAAGAAATATGCACTAAAAGTAATCAGTTTATTTAGACTTGTCGAGGTTAACACTTGAATGTTCACAAAAGGAAAACAGAAATCAGTTTGCACGTAAAATAACAAACTAACAACATGAGATCAGACTTTGTAACAAAAATAAAAGTTAACGCAGCGAACAAAACTAACCGCAAATCACCTTGAAGGATACGGAAATAGCTGCGATTAACCTCCACCTTGGTGTTAAATTCCCCATAACAACTTTTCAATAACAAACAGGAGGAATTCTAAAACCTTACTGAATGTCTAATACAAACAAACAAGAGAGAATTATTAACACATGTGTAATTTGTGGGCCGGGCGGAAGAGCGCCCCAGGCGACCGAGAACGTGCACGTCTTCATTGAGTGGGATGGCCGATGAAACGGGAGGTGCTGACAACTGGTAAAACGGTGAAAAATGAGCTAACGCGCTTGCTTTTACAAACAGCTGGAATACATTTGAAAACTGACAGTAACCCTGCGTTTTGGGTAACTAACATGAGAGAGCTTAACCCCATTATCTATTTCACTCTCTGTATTGGTCTCATAATGGTAGCCATCAGTGCCATTACAAGCTGTGTTAAATACAAAATTTTGCCAGCGACGAACATTTGTTTTATACGATATTTTCACTCTGAGGTTTGAGGAAAATACCCAAACGATCACTAATAATGATTTTTTTTATATTCTGGAATACCGAGGAAGTGAAATAATGTATGCGAAATGAAGAGATAGGATTTACTCCGGTGATAAGTTTTTTCGTTCCGGCTTAGAACGCGTCCGTTACAAAAGATAGACATACTTTTTTCCAAAATATCTTAAGAACACGACAAGTAAATTGCGAGCTGTACTGTCTCATTACAACCGTATATCCTATCCAGCCTTTACCTAAAACCTCAAGCAAATATCAAACTCTTGAACTACTTCCAACTCGAACGACTTTTTGATGTCTTGCAATTTCTACAAAGAGAGAGCATACAGTATTATCTTTTTTTTTTCCACCCATTGTGTTTCCCCCTTATCTTGAGCACGACAGTTAAAAAGAACTTTCACACCACTATGGTAATCCTTTTACCTGTTGAATTTCCAAGATTTCCGAGCAATTTTAGGCGTAATAAGAGGTACAACAGGCGGTATATTTCACTGGTTACCGCATGAAAAAAGAAAACACTACACCTACCCATCAAAATAACGAGGTATTATAAACAATCTCTAATATATTTACATACAGCTGTTTGAAGGAAATACTGAAGGATTTAAAGTAAATAAAAAGCTTAGACATCATTAACGCATATCAAGGGTTTATAGTTATTATTGCTGCGTTCTTATTTTCTCGATGTCCTATCGCAAACGAAATACAATATTTCTTCACCTAAATTGTAAAATCTTCGAAGGCGGAGTTTGTCTCCCAAGAAAATTCAACAAAATCTCATTCAACACTACATCGGAGTATCAATGTATCTGTGCTTGAGTAAGAATTCACTGACTATCCTCCGACAAAAGAGCAGTAGATGTAAAAATATAAGATAAGCAACGGAAATTACTGCTATTATAAAGGATTAAAAGAAGCGAAATGTTTCTCCGGGCGGCTGGAAAAAGAAAACAACAGCTGTTTTGTATTTTTGAGACGGTTAAAAATAACTTGCGCGAGAAAAAAAAAAAATCTTTTACCAGGTCATCACCCCTTTCATGCGCACATTGTTTGTCTGGTATATTCAGAGGAAATACAGAAACAGCAACTATACTTAGTCAATAAAACACAAAATGTGGCTGGTGCGTCTTTGTTTCATCACCCGACACTTTTGTTTAAGCACGCGACTCTATTTGTGTTCCTGTGTGTATTAGCTTCTGTTCAATTGAGTTGCATTGATAATTTTGGCCATGGTTACTAAACTCCTAGAAAGCTATTCAATATTATTTCCTTTGTTTCATTGGCATTGTTTCTTTAATAATTACTTTGAGCCAAAAAGGAAATTTATCAACACAAATGTGTCGTTGGGTGATCGTTTTTTGTTTCGCGGCCAAAGTGGGCGGAAAGTTGAATAAAATTACTCCTATCTAAGAATTTCAAATTCACACACCTACACACTGAGCAACGAGAAAAATACTCAAAAAGGGAGATTATCTCTCTTGGGTAAACTTAAATGTCACGTGGAAGTGTCTTAAGGAAAATCTCATAACACTTAGAATTATAGTTTACTTCCTTGCTTAGGAAAGTTTGGATCGAGTTAAGAGTGGTGAATTGTGAAGCAAAATGAAAAAAAACATATTTGGGTCTCAGAAGTCTCTATCAAAAAGATATTCATGGCCCAATTCACAGCTCTAGGTATGAACAACAACTATTTCCAGCATGTCAACTAAAACTTTATCCAAACGATAGCCTTCATTTGAGAAGACTTTTGGCAGGGATATTGCGGGCACTTTCCGCTTAACTAATTAACTCGCCCACACATGCACATCTTGAGCAGAAGGATGTAAAATCAATTATTACGAACTTAACCTATGAGGAAATTGCCGATTATAGCGCTAATGAGACTAACGGCTAGCAGAGATAAACACTAATGGAGTTTGAGGGACAAATTTGCCGTGAAAAACTGCTCTACACCAAAGCATTTTTTATTTATTTATTTTAGAAATGTATCAAACCTAAAAAAAAAACCAAATCTTAAAGTCCATCTAATATTTTCGCTTGCACGCTATTGGTCTGAACAAGTCACGAGTTCCCTTGGTCTCAACAAGTCACTTGCGGACCAAGGACTGGAAAATAATCACGTCCTTCGCAGTCAAAGGTTTTGACGAACTCTGTTCTTAATCTGCTTCGTATTAAATCTTATTGTTTGAGGGTAAGCTGTTCGTTATTGGCTGTTTATTACTTTAACCTTAACGCAAAGTAAAAATACACGAGATGGTTGTTAAACTTTGTTTTAGCTAAGCTTCAACCATATTTCACAATATTTGAAAGAGGAAGGAAGCTTTTACGTCCTAAGAATGATCAGAATCAAATTTCTCCTAAAATATTAGCACAGGATCACTAGTTAAGGTCATGAAAATTAATGAAATGATCAGTAAGACCTTTAATACATTTCAATTATTGTCGCAAGACAATGTATGCAGACCACTGAGGTTATATCATATGTAAACTGTGGAGCCTAAAGGATTGGGGAACTTGGAATTCAGTGATATAATAGACAACCGTTTATGTGTTCTTCACAGTGGATATTTCTTCATCGATTGTTTTCCATTCAAAACTGTCATGAAAACTATTTATCTCTCAGCATAAATTAATCAATTTTCAGCCGATCTTGACCACCGCTGTCATAAATCAGAGCAGTTATTCTTAAAAGCTGCAACTTGCCACTCTCGTGTGATTTGAACATCACCAACAAAAAGAAACATTCTTCATCTACTGAAGAACAAAGGCCTTCTTTGGTTGTAACCTTGAGCCAATGATATTGTCCGAAACCGGCGTTATGTCTGAGAAAGCTTGGCAGTTTTTGATTGGTACAAGGATCACCAAAAACCGGCGCTTGTCCCGTGGAATGCTTTACTTACAAGTAGTCCAAGGAGGTTTTCAAAGATGCTACCTTCGTTTCTCTTTCATTGCCTTTTTACTCGCTTCTCTTCGTCTTTTGTTGATGGGATTTCGTGGATCAAATATTTCATATGTATCTTCATTTTCAATGTAAGCATCCCGAGCTCGTTTGCTCTCAGCTTCGCACTTCAACGAGTGAAACATCCTAGAAAAATACACCAAAGGCACCAATCAAACTCATGTTAAAGATGATGGATCAATGTCAATATCCAATCAACTGCCCTCCCCTCCCCTAACCCAACAATAGTCAACTGATAACAAGTTAGGGTTAATGTTTGGTAAGGGGTGGAGTAGGTGTGCATTTGTTCAAATACTGACATGGGAGAGATCCTGACACGGGATGAGAGTTTCTAAAGCTAAAGTTTAGAGCGTTATAGAGCCCTTAGTCAGAACGTTAGCCTTTCGCTATAACGAAGGGCTAACGCTCGAAACGTCAGCTTCAGAAACTCTCTTAGGTGGCCAATTTATATCATTAACTCAATTGATCAAATCAAAGTATTATGTTGTTGACTTC